AGAGTAGTGTACTCATTCTGTTAGCTTGTGTTCCCGTGAGTTTCCGGGTTTTGGGATGATATTGTAGACTTCTGTGTTTTGGGATTGTATATGCCAAGTGGCATCTATACACCGTATTTTCTTTTAACTGTTCAAGTTGAATTACTATTTCCCGCAAGTTGTTTTGTTTTCCGCATTTTAGGCTTACCTAGTTGTAGAGACTAGGCGCCATCACGACATGTTCACGGTGGGTGAACTGGGGTCGTGACAAGTTGGTATCAGAGCTCTTGGTTCATAGGAGTCACGGAACACAGGCCAGTTTATTAGAGTCTCGCTGATCGGTACGGAGACGTCTCTACTTATCTACGGGAGGCTATGTAACTGTTAGGAAAATTCCACTTCATTTGATTTCCTTGTCGTGCGAGATTTTGACATCACAACTAAACTTCTGTCTTTCTATTCTCTCACAGACGCGCTACCCGAGAGGATCAGGCACCCGCGCCCCCTACCGCAGCCGTCATAGGCCGGGGTAGAGGCCGAGGACGCGCTTGTGGTGCAGCCAGAGCACCCGCGTGAGCTGCCGCCGAGGTACCGCCACCAGTACCAGCCGGAGTCCAAACATCCGATACGACTGCCACTACTACTCTAGCACTCTAGGAGACTTTGGCACAGTTCATGAGTATGTACACCACTCTGACTCAGGCAGGGTTGCTTCCCCTTGCTGCAGCCACATCCCAAGCCGGGGGAGGAGTACAGACTCCCGCCGCCCGCACTCCTGAGCAGCGAGTGCATGTTGAGCAGGCCCCAGAGGTTGTACCTGCGCCGCCTGGTGCATGTTGAGCAGGCCCCAGAGGTTGTACCTGCGCCGTCTGCAGTACCAGTTCAGCCCGAGGGTAGGGCAGCGGCTTTAGAGGATGAGCAGCGGAGACTTGAGAGGTTCAAGAAATACGATCCTCCGGTATTCAATAGGTTAGCATCAAAGGATGCCTTGGGATTTCTGGAGGAGTGCTACCGTATTCTCCGCACTATGGGCATATCAGGATCGAGCGGGGTTTCCTTCACCACTTTCCAGCTTCGAGGAGCCGCCTATCAGTGGTGACGTGCTTATGAGTTAGACAGTCCGGATGAGGCAGCTTCCTTGACTTGGGCTCAGTTTTCAGATATGTTCACGAGGGAGTATGTTCCCCAGAGTCTTAGGGATGCTTGGCGCGCAGAGTTTGAGCGTTTGCGCCAGGGTACTATGACTGTCTCAGAGTATGCTTTCCGCTACATTGACTTGGCTAGACATGCCCCAGCTTTGGTTTCCACGGTCCGCGAGAAGGTTCGTCGGTTCATTGAGGGGCTTATTCCCAGCATCAGGTCTAGCATGGCTCGTGAGTTAGAGACGGATGTGTCTTATCAGTAGGCGGTGAGCATTGCTAGGAGGATTGAGGGTATGCATGCTAGAGACAGGGAGGAGAGGGAGGCCAAGAGGTCTCGAGAGTCGGGCCATTTTTCTGGTGCCCGTGCCCCAGCTGCAGGTCATCATGGTAGGGTCATATGGGTCGCCCCGTTCATTAAGCTCTTCCAGCAGCCAGCGATATTCCAGCTCCACCTAGGCCTCAGGAGCCTTATTATGCACCTCCAGTCTCTAGTGCGCCTCCTGCACGGGGTGTTTCCAGTGGACAGTCCAGTAGACCTGGCCCGAGCCAGTCACAGCCGCCACGTCCTCCCAGAGCTTGCTTTGAGTGTGGTGACACACGCCACATGGTGAGAGATTGCCCCAAACTCAGGAAGGGTGCACCTTCGCAGGCTCCTCAGCCACAGCAGGCCCCGCAGAGCTCTCAGGCTATGGTTCCAGCACCAGCTGCCACCCCACCGGCCCAGCCAACTAGAGGTGGATGTCGGGGAGGTAGAGGTTGCCCTCGAGGGGGAGGCCAAGCCAGATATTATGCACTTCCAGGCCATACTGAGGCCGCCTCCTCCGATTCTGTCATCACAGGTACTATCTTGGTTTGTCACAGAGATGCATCGGTTCTATTCGATCCAGGCTCCACCTACTCTTATGTGTCTTCTTATTTTACTCCGTATTTGGGGGTACCTCGGGATTCTTTGAGTTCCCCAGTTTATGTTTCTACTCCTGTGGGAGATTCTCTTGTTGTGGACCGCGTCTAAATGTTTGGTTATTCTTGGTGGCTTTGAGACCAGGGCTGACTTATTAGTACTCAACATGGTTGATTTTGATATGATTTTGGGCATGGACTGGTTGTCGCCCCATTATGCTATTCTTGATTGTCAGGCCAAAATCGTGACGCTGGCTATGCCAGGTATACCGCGTGTTGAGTGGAGGGGTGCCTTAGGTCACACTCCCAGTAGAGTTATTTCTTTCCTTAAGGCTCAGCGGATGATTGAGAAAGGTTGTGATGCGTACTTAGCTTATGTGAGGGATGCCAATATGGATACTCCTTCTATTGATTTAGCCCCCGTAGTACGGGATTTCCCCGATGTGTTTCCAGCTGATCTTCCGGGCATGCCACCCGATAGGGACATTGATTTTGGCATTGTTCTGTTGCCGGGCACTCAGCCCATTTCTATCCCCCCCCCCTCCCGTACCGTATGGCTCCTCCTGAGTTGAAGGAGTTGAAGGAGCAATTGCAGGAATTACTTGATAAGGGTTTTATTCGGCCCAGTGTATCGCCTTGGGGTGCTCCTGTGTTATTTGTGAAGAAGAAGGATGGTTATATGCGCATGTGTATTGATTACCGCCAGTTGAATAAGGTGACGGTGAAGAACCGCTATCTTTTGCCTCGTATTGATGATCTGTTTGACCAGCTTTAGGGCGCACGGGTGTTTTCTAAGATTGATTTGCGCTCAGGTTACCACCAGTTGAAGATTCGGGAGCCAGATATCCCGAAGACTGCCTTCAGGACTCGGTATGGTCATTACGAGTTCCTTGTTATGCCATTTGGGCTGACCAATGCCCCAGCAGCCTTCATGCATCTGATGCACAGTGTATTCCGGCCATATCTTGACTCTTTTGTCATTGTCTTTATTGATGATATTCTGGTGTATTCCCGGAGTCGGGAAGATCACGAGCAGCACCTGAGTACAGTGCTTCAGACTCTGAGGGAAAAGAGATTATATGCAAAGTTTTCAAAATATGAGTTTTGGTTGGATTCTGTGACATTCTTGGGTCACGTGGTATCGAGTGAGAGCATTCGGGTGGATCCGAAGAAGGTAGAGGCAGTGCAGAGTTGGCCCAGACCATCCTCAGGTACAGAGATTCGCAGTTTCCTTGGCTTGGCAGGCTACTACCTTCGGTTTGTGGGGGGGTTTTCATCGATTGCAGCCCCTATGACTAGATTGACCCAGAAGGGTGTTCCATTTCAGTGGATAGAGGAGTGTGAGGCGAGCTTTCAGAAGCTCAAGACAGCTTTGACTACAGCCCCAGTTTTGATATTGCCTACCGGTTCGGGGTCTTACACTGTCTATTGTGATGCCTCGAGAGTTGGCCTTGGAGCGGTATTGATGCAGGACGGTAGGGTGATCGCCTACACGTCCAGATAGTTGAAGATACATGAGAAGAATTATCCTCTCCATGATCTTGAGTTAGCTGCCATTGTTCATGCCTTGAAGATTTGGCGTCATTACCTGTACGGTGTTCCTTGTGAGATATATACTGATCACCGTAGTCTGCAGCATTTGTTCAAGCAGAAGGACCTTAAGTTGCGTCAGAGGAGATGGTTAGAGCTGCTGAAGGATTATGACATCACTATCTTGTATCACCCGGGCAAGGCCAATATGGTGGCCGATGCTTTGAGCCGCCGGGCAGAGAGCTTAGGGAGTTTGGCTTATTTACCAGCAGCAGAGAGGCCTATGGCGATGGATGTTTAGGCCCTAGCCAGCCAGTTTGTGAGATTGGATCTTTCGGAGCCCAGCCGGGTTCTAGCTTGTGTGGTCTCTCGGTCTTCCTTGTTTGATCATATCAGGGAGCGACAGTATGATGACCCTCATTTGCTTGTCCTCAAGGACAAGGTGTTGCATGGCGATGCTCGAGATGTGACCATTGGTGATGACGGAGTATTGAGGACGCAGGGTTGGGTTTGTGTACCCAATGTCGATGGGCTTCGGGAGTTGATTTTAGAGGAGGCCCACAGTTCGCGGTATTCCATTCATCCGGGTGCCGCGAAGATGTACCAGGATTTGAGGCAGCACTACTGGTGGAGGCGGATGAAGAAGGATATAGTTGGGTTTGTAGCTCGGTGCCTTAATTGTCAGCAGGTGAAGTATGAGCACCAGAGACCGGGTGGATAGCTTCAGCAGATAGAGATTCCGGAGTGGAAATGGGAGCGGATCACCATGGACTTCGTATCTGGACTCCCACGAACTTTGAAGAAGTTCAATGCCATTTCGGTTATTGTGGATCGGCTGACCAAGTCCGCGCATTTCATCCCTATGTGTACTACCTACTCCTCGGAGCGGTTGACGGAGATTTATATCCGGGAGATTGGCCGTCTGCATGGTATTCCAGTTTCTATTATTTCAGACAGAGGTACTCAGTTCACATCGTGGTTCTGGAGAGCCGTACAACAGGAGTTGGGTACTCGGGTGGATTTGAGCACAGCATTTCACTCTCAGACGGACGGACAGTCCGAGCGCACTATTCAGATTCTTGAGGATATGCTCCGTGCATGCGTGATTGAGTTTGGAGGTTCTTGGGATCAGTTCTTGCCATTGGCGGAGTTTGCCTACAACAACAGCTATCAGTCTAGCATTCAGATGGCACCGTTTGAGGCCTTATATGGTAGGCGATGTAGATCTCTGGGTGGTTGGGTTTTGAAGCCCTGGGTGAGGTCCCCGAGTTATTTGGGGCAACCTAGGATTTTTGGGTTTCCGTAAGGGGATTTCGGCGTTTTTTAGGGGACGGTAAGGAAGGGTTTACCCGAAAAGGGGTTACGGAAGTTTTTCCGAAAGGGGAGTTTAAACGAACGTTCCCCGGTTAAACCCGAGGCCCCCCTAAGGTTCCCCGNCCACCGAGCTTTTACTCTCTTCTCTTATTCTCCTGTTAACCTTCAAAGTGTACCTCTTCTTAACATATACAGTATATCTTTTTCCTCTCTACTGTTTAAGCTATAGAGAGAGGAGAACTGCTCTTACTTCAAACTCTAGAACTAGAATAAGGTTGTTACTTCCCAGAATATGACTCTTGAAGATTCCTTAAGATCTCTCTCTTTGGATTATCTCAACCTTCTCATCAACGGTCAAGCTTTCAGTGATGTTACTTTCAGTGTTGAAGGTCGTCTGGTTCATGCTCACAAATGTATCTTAGCTGCTAGGAGTCTTGTTTTCAGGAAATTCTTTTGTGGGCCCGAGTCGCCTGGTGGCGGCCCGGAACCATTAAGCTCAAGAATGAGTTCCGCGGGCGTCATCAGCCCGCGGGGTACAGGTGGTTTACAGGTAATACCTGTAAACTCAGTAGGGTATGAGGTATTCTTGTTGATGTTGCAGTTTTTGTACAGTGGACAAGTTTCAGTTGTGCCACAGAAACATGAATCAAGGCCTAATTGTGGGGAGAGAAGCTGTTGGCATACACATTGTACCTCAGCCGTTGATCTTGCACTTGACACTCTCGCAGCCGCTAGATCTTTTGGTGTTGAACAGCTCGCTTTGCTCACTCAGGTTTTTATCTTTTCTAACTTTCTGAGATTTTGGAAATTGAAAATTTTCATTTTTCCAAACCTATGGTTGGCTATAGTTTTTGTTGTTGCTTCTTCAGTCCAAAGATTTTTCAGATTATATTTTTTATTCAACTTTTTTTCAAGTTCAGAGGTTAGTTNGGGGACCGCAGATGCGGCGCCGCAGATGCGGCTAAGGGGACCGCAGAAGCGGATTTGGTGAATTCTTCAGGTACCGCAGATGCGGTTGATCTTCCGCAGAAGCGGAACCGCATCTGCGAGTGGGTGACCGCAGATGCAGAACCTGGACTTTTAATGAAAGTCACAGATGCGACTATTTCTCCGCAGATGCGGGACCGCAGGTGCGGTCCCAGGATCGCAAATGCGGAAATAGCTGGCCAGAAATAGTGATTTCGAGGGTTTAGTTTCAAAAGTTAGAAAAATTGAATTGGAGCTCGGGAGAGGGCGATTTTGTGAGGTATTTGAAGAGGAGATCATTGGGTAACGACTCTTTAACCCTTTCTAGTTATATTTCATCAATCTTTAGTTAATTTCATCATCTAATTTCGGATTTTTAAATGGAAAAGGGTAGAAACTTCATAGACCTAATTATTGATATTTGAGTGGGTTTTTGACCTCCGATTTGAGAGATTTTTATATGGTTAGACTCGTGAGGGTACGAGGGTTCTGAAAATGTTAATTTCATCCGAATCCAAGACGTTGGCCTGAGGGGCGTTTTGGTTATTTTACCTAATTTTGCATCTTAGCTTTGAATTAAATCGTAGAATCAGTTGCTTGAGATGTTATTTACGATATGTAATTGAATTGAATAGATTTGGGCCATTTGGAGTCGGATACTCGTGGTAAAAGTGTGGTTTCGAGTTGATTTTGGAGCCGGTTCGAGGTAAGTGGCTTGTCTACCTTGTGTGGGGGACTTTTCCCTTAGGATATGATGTTTGGTAATTGAATGCCCTACGTGAGGTGACGAGCGCGTACTTGAGCTAATTGTTGAAAATCCGATTTTACTTAAATATTTAGATTGAGTTTCTTTCTTACCTGCTTTATTCTATTTGCAATTATAGCCTGTGTTAGTTTAGAAAAGCATGCTTAGCTGATCTAAATTGCCTACTTGCTTAAGTTGCCTTAGTTGTACTACGTGAAGCATGTTAGGCTAGAACTATCTGTTGCCTTGTATTTCATTAAACTTCATTGCTGGATATCTTCTTGTTTTGGCTGTGTATTTACATTGGGACTACGGATGTGGAATTCCGGTAGCTCCCCCCCCCCTGTTTGTTTTCTTTGGGACTACGGGTTAGATCCCCCTGCATATTTACTTTGGGACTGCGGGTTCAATTCCCGATAGATCCCCTTGCACATTGATAGCTGAATTACGGGACGTTATCCCGGGAGATCCTTCGGATATACACATATGATGGACTAAGGGACGGTATCCCGGGAGATCCACTGGATAGTTGAGAAAAGGACTACAGGATGGTATCCTGGGAGATCCTCATTGTTACCATTGGTATTGAGCTGTACATATTCCGTGTTTACTCCGATCTCTGTGTATTTGTTATTGCCTTGTTTAACCTGTCTTATTCACTGTGTACTCATTATTGCTGCCTATTTTCATACGGTTAATTCATATTATATTGTCTAACCTCAGTAGGGCCCTGACCTTCCTCGTCACTACCCGACCGAGGTTAGGCTTGGCACTTACTGAGTACCGTTGTGGTGTACTCATGCCCCTTCTGCGCATGTTTTTCATGTGCAGATCCAGGTTCCTCCACCCAGGCGTATCATCCTCGAGGCGAAGAGATCTAGCAGAGACTTCGAGGTACATCTGCCGCGTCCGCAGACCAAGGAGTCTCTATCTTATTCTAGCTTTAGCAGATATCCTTCCTTTCTTACTGTTGTTTTAGACATTCTGGAGTTAGAGCAGTGTACTCATTCTATTAGCTTGTGTTCCCGTGAGTTTCCGGGTTTTGGGATGATATTGTAGACTTCCGTGTTATGGGATTGTATATGCCAAGTGGCATCTATACATCATATTTTCTTTTAACTGTTCAAGTTAAATTACTATTTCCCGCAAGTTGTTTTGTTTTCCGCATTTTAGGCTTACCTAGTTGTAGAGACTAGGCGCCATCACGACATGTTCACGGTGGGTGAACTGGGGTCGTGACATGTGGTGTACTTTGGATCAGAAGTATATGAGAACATGAGCAAGTCAGTCATATTGTTGATGATATAAATGATGACTCACATGGATAACTAAGATCTTGGAAATACCCAATTCTTGTTAGCATAATCTATATAGCAGTTTTAAGTCTTAGATGAAATGCATACATTAAAAATATTAATTGTCATCAAGATTTTATGTCACTTACAGGCATAACAGTGATGTTGTTACAACCGAAAACACCTTCATCAGAAGCTACATGTTCCTTTACAGCTGAGGCAATATTCTCTGTTGCATACTTAAGGTAACTTTTCTTTCCTGTAGAAACAAATGTATGTTGCAGACTATTAGATGAAATAATAAGTATAACATTTGGTATTCTTAGTGAAACAAAAGAATGTGAAATGTTAGAAGATTTTACGAACAATATGTTGTCTTTATTGCTCCAGGTGAATCCACCCTCAAGTACACATACATAGTTGTATAAAAAGATGGCAACACTTATTACAGCCATTCTAACGACTACCGCTGTTGAAAGTCCACCAGCACGAACAGCTATCTACATCAGAAATATCTCGACTAAATTTACACAGCAAAGATATTTCTTTAAGCTACAAAAATTTAAAAAAAATACATTTATCAGCCTTTCGACTTTGATCAAGTGAGGAAGATGGGGTTTCTAAGAGTCCGAAACCTAAATAATGGTATTTTGGACTCAAAATACCTTTATACAGTTAAAAAAAGTTACATTTCTAACTAAAATGCAGTATAATACTGCATTTTAGTTTAACGGAAAGTTAGCCGTTAAAAGAAAATGTAGTATAATACTGCATTTTAATTAATAAATCATTTTTCTAATGTAAAACGCGTAGTAAAACGTTGTATTATAATACGTTTTATTGCTCCAAACTTAAAGCCATTCTTGGTTAAGTTTCATATGGTTGAGCCATTCTGGACAGAAACCTTTGTCAGTCCACTGCGTCCTATCAACAGAAACCTTTGTCAGTCCCCACCCATCTTCACCACCTGCCCCGCTACATAAGTCAAAAAGAAAAAACACAAACCAAACCACAAAAAATAAAAATTGCTTTCTCTTCCTTGGGTCATATTCTATAATGTAATTTATATTTATACATTTAACTCTTATTTGGAAAAAATAAACTTTTTAATTTTGCTACCTTAAAGTTAATTATATACCTTTTTTGGGTAGCTGATAATTATTTACCTACTATGTAGAAAGCTGGGTAAATCACAAATAATTTTATGGAAAGGAATTTTATTTTGTGACTTGATCTAATTTTGAAAAAAGTACTACGGTAAAAAGGAACTTTTTTTTATATTTATACATTTAACTTTTATTTGGAAAAAATAAACTTTTTAATTTTGCTACTCTAAAGTTAATTATATACCTTTTTTGGGTAGCTGATAATTATTTACCTACTATGTAGAAAGCTGGGTAAATCACAAATAATTTTATGGAAAGGAAACAACTTCAAAATGAGATCAAGTCACAAAATAAAATTCCTTTCCATAATACTGAACAAAATAAAATTCTGACAAAGGTTCCTTTTTACTGTAGTACTTTTTCTACTTAAGCCATCTCCAACGCGGTGGTTAACTAAGAATGGCTTTAAGTTTGGAGCAGTAAAACGTATTATAATACAATGTTTTAGTTAAACGTTGTATTATAATGTGTTTTACATAAAACAACGATTTATTAATTAAAACGCAGTATTATACTACGTTTTCTTTTAACGGCTAACTTTCCGTTAAATTAGACACAGTATAATACTGCATTTTAGTTAGAAATGTAACTTTTTTATTTAACTGTATAAAGGCATTTTGAGTCTAAAATACCATTATTTAGGTTTCGGACTCGGTGTCACGACCCGGATTTCCCACCCTCGGGAGTCGTGATGGCGCCTACTCGTAGAATCTAGGCAAGCCAAATTTTTAATTACTTTCCATTTACAACATAATCCCTTTTAACAATTCATGGCAACAATATAAAAATAACGAAATTAAATAGTAGCGGAAGTCTTAATTATAGAAACTGAATCAACATGCGGAATAGTCAAGATAATCCTCTACCCAAGACTGGTGTCACAATACTCACGAACTGCTAAGAAATACTAAACACAAACGTCTGAAAGAAAACATAAGTTGTTTGTCTCGGATACAATGAGGCAACAGGCTAAAAAGAGAGAATAAGGGAGACGCCGGGCTTGCGGACGCATGCAAGGCTACCTCGGGTCTCACCGGACTGAAGGCCTACTCCCGTACTAATGCTGCTGCTGCTGCTGCTCGAGACCTGGACCTGTGCAAATAGCACAGAGTGTAGCATCAACACAACCGACCCCATGTGCTGGTAAGTGTCTGGCCTAACCCCGGCGAGGTAGTGACGAGGCTAGGACCAGACTCCAGATAAACCTGTGCAGATATATATACAAGTACAACGGAAAAGTAGCAAGAAAATAACAATTTAAGCTGGGGAAGGGAGCATGCTTCAGGGGGTAACCGATAGAAACAAAATATCAGGAATAATGGTACATACATCTACAGTTTAACTTCCAACAAAAATGAAAGGATAGACAACTTTCATATTCAACTCGTCTTGTTGCAGGCGTGCAACCCGATCCCATTTCTCAATATCTCGTGGTAGGCGTACCACCCGCTCCCATTTCAATATCACTCGTGGTAGGCGTACCACCCGCTCCCATTTCAATATCACTCGTGGTAGGCGTACCACCCGTTCCCATTTCAATATCACTCGTGGTAGGCGTACCACCCGCTCCCAATTCAATATCACTTGTGGTAGGTGTACCACCCGATCCCAATTCAATATCACTTGTGGTAGGCGTACCACCCGATCCCGTTTCAATATCACTTGTGGTAGGCGTACCACCCGCTCCCTTTACTTTCAACACAATACACAATACAATCCCGGCAAGGGAACAATCAAACTAACACTCTTTCCCGG